AAAAAAAAAAAAATCAAAAGGGAGGGGCGCCTAGGTGGCTCAGTTGGTTAAGTGACTCTTGATTTCTGCTTAGTCATGATCTCAAGCTTGTGAGATCGAGCCTGGTGTCAGGTCCAAGCTGGGAGTGGAACCTTCTTAAGATTCTTTCTCTTCCTCTCCCTCTGCCTACCTACCCAACAAGTTGCATGCACACATGTGTGCATGTGCTTTCTCGCTCTCTCTCTAAAAAAAAGAAAAGAAAAGAAAAGAAAAAATCTAATTTAAACAAATGAAAATGAAAGCACAACATTTCAAAACTTATGGGAGACTGCAAAGGCAGTTTTTTTTAAATATTTCATTTATTTATTCGAGAGAGAGTGAGAGAAAGAGAGCTCAAGCAGGGGGAGCAGCAGAGGGAGAAGCAGAATCCCCACTGAGCAGGGAACCCAAAGAGGGGCTCAATCCCTGGATCTAGGGATCATGACCTGAGCCAAAAGTAGACACAACCGACCAGGTGCCCCTAAAGGCAGTTCTAGGAGGGAAGTTTATAGTGATTCCTGACTACCTCAAGAAACAAAAAGTAGCTTGAAGACCCCAATTTACACCTTATGGAACTAGTAAAAGAACAAACCAAGCCCAATTAGCAGAAAGGAATTAACAAAGACCAGACAAATACATGAAATAAAGACTGAGCAGGGGCACCTTGGGGGACCCAGTTGGTTAAGTCTGACACTTGATCTCAGCTCAAGTCTTGATCTCAGGTTCATGAGTTTGAGCCCCACATTGGGCTCCATGACCAAAAATATAAAATATCATTAAAACTGAGAGTTGACATTTTTAGATTAAAAAAAAAATCAATGGGGTACCTGGGTGGCTCAGTCATTAAGCATCTGCCTTCGGCTCAGGTCATGATCCTAGGGTCCAAGGATTCAGCCCCATGTGGGGCTTCCCCACTCTGTGGGAAGCATGCTTCTCCCTCTCCCACTCCTCCTGCTTATGTTTCCTCTTTCACTGTCTATCTCTCTCTCTGTCAAATAAATAAATAAAATCTTTTTTAAAAAATCAACAAACTTTTAGCTGGAGTAACACAGAAATGCAGAGAGTACTAAAATAAATGAAACCAGAAACTAAAGAGGAGACCCTATAACTGATATCACAGAAATATAAAGGATCATGAGAGACTACTATGAAAAACTATACACCAACAAGCTGGATAACCTGGAAGAAATAAGTTCTTAGAAACATGGAATCCATGAAGACTGAAACGTGAAGAAATGGGGCACCTGCTTGACTCAGTTGGTTGGGCATCTGCCTTTGGCTCAGGTCATGATCCCAGGACCCTGGGATTGTAGCCTGCATCAGGTTGCTCAGCAGGGAGCCTGCTTCTCCCTCTCCTTCTGTCCCTCCCCTTTGCTTATGCTCTCTCTCTCAGACAAATAATATCTTTTAAAAAATGAATAGAAAATCTGAACAGATCACTTTTAAGTAAAGAGATTGAATCAGTAATAAAAAAGATCTCTCAACAAAGAAAAGCCAAGGACCAGAAGGTTTCACTAGTGAATTATTCCAAACATTTAAAGAATTAATGGCAATCCTGAAACCTTTTCAAAAAACTGAAAAGGAGGAAATACTCCCCAAATTCATTTTATGAGGATAGCATTACTCTGATACCACAGCCAGATAAGGATACTACGAGAAAAGAAAATTATAGCCCATTATTGTTAATGAATATAGATACAAAAATACTCAACAAAATATAGCAAACCAAATTAACAGCACATTTTAAAAAATCATTCACCATGATTAAATGGGAATAACACCTGAGATATAAGGATGGTTCAACATATGTAAATCAATAAATGTAATATACCATATTAATAGAATAAAAGATAAAAATCATATGATCATCTCAATAGATGCAGAAAAGGCATTTGACAAAGTACAACAGACTCAATGGTGAATAGGTGAAAGTTCTTTCTCTAAGATCAGAACCAGACAAAGGTGCCCACTCTGACCA